GAGTTTCCTGTCCTCCTTTTGACAAAATGTCAATATATTGAGCCAATAGTATTACTATGTTGATTGTTAAGGCTCAATTTTCCTCTTTACATTGTTTTGGTACCTTTGTCAAAAACCAGTTGACCATAAACGTGTGTTGATCCATTTCTGGACTCTCTAGTCTGTTCCACTGTCTATATATATTCTATATGTCTCTTCACAAATACCAAACTGTTTTGCTCATATAGTTTTATAATAAGTCTTAAAATGAGGTAAAGTAAGTCCTCCAATTTGGTCTTTATTTTTAACAAGGACAAAAATTGGTTATTCTACTTCTTTGCATTTCTGTATGAATTTTAGATTCACTTTGTCAATTTCTACAGAACAGCTTGCTGGAATTTCAATTGAGATTAGGCCGACTCTATAAATGAACTTGCCTAGATTAACATCTTAACAATATTAAGTCTTGTAATCCATGAACACGGTTGTTCCTTTCATTATTTTAGCTCTTCCAAAAAAAAAAAAAAAAAAGATGAATACCTAAAGCACATAAAATATGCCAGGCACAATAATAGGTGCTTTACATGCATCCCATTAATTAAAGTTCATCATTCTTTTTATTAGATGAATTATACATAGAAGGAAATGGGGAGATGAAGAGGTTAAATAATTCCCCAAGGTCAGTCAGTAAGTGGCAAGAAGAGAATTTGGGCCCCCATCCATATGACTCTTGCAAAGCCTGACTTTTTTTATTCACCTATCTGCTTAAGTCAGCTCTAACTAAGATCACATGAGGGCCATTATTTACACCCGTGAACCTCTCCAAAGTTTAGATTGTTCCAGAACAATCAAGTATTTCAGACTCCCACTGTCAAGATGACTTTACTGTTATAGTAAGGAGACAGTGCTAAAGCATGTGGAGGCATGTGAGTGTTAGAGATTATATTTTGCAAATTGCACTTGAGAATTGAGTGTGCCAATTATAGCCTTTTGAGTATCTGCCTTGTTCACAGCACTTAGGCATAAGTTAATTAACAGGATAAAATTCTACTCCATTGTAAGGAAAGCTATTTCCATTTATAAATTATCCGTGCAAACTGGTTTGATTTGAAAAAGGTTTTGTAAAGGATCTGATAGCTCTTGAGATAATTTTGGGGATTACCTGTTATGAAAATTCAGTGTGTGTGTGTGTGTGTGTATGTGTCTGCGTGTGTGTGTGTTTTGCAAACTTACCTGTGGCCAAAAAATAAAAAATAAAAAAAAATAAAAAATCAAAGTATTTCCAAAGTGGTTGTAATTCAAATTAATCAAGTTCCTGACCTATCCCTGATAAGGAATAAACCAAGGTTTAATTTTTTAAAAAAATCACGAAGAAAAAGGTTTATGGTTGGAGGTCTACTCTTAAAGAAAAAGCCTATTTAATGGTGCTTGTTAAAGATTGAAAGCGGACTTTATTCAGGACCATTGAGGTAAGTATAGGGACCACAGCAATAAATTTTACAGTAGGGGAGAAAGATGGAGCTAACTCTAAATACAGCATGGGCAGGCGGGAATTCCTAGTCCAAGTACAGGGTAGATAGGGGTCATTGGGTGAAAAATTACTAAGAGAAAAACAACAGAGATGATGAAAGTACTGGCTAACCCCATCAAACTGAAAACAGGCCAGGGTGATCAGACACCACCTACAGAATGGCAGAAGGTGAAGAACTCCATCAGATATTGAGGATGATCAGATATTGACTTTGTGTGTGTGTTGGGAGATATTTTTGGTTAAACTAACAGGGTTCTTGCTAAAACTTGATTTTACAGAGAAGTGCACAGATGAGTCTAGGAGAACATATAGGAGCCTAAAGTTTGTCCAAGTAAAGAATCTTTGTCATACTTCAAGTATTTCTAGTCACATTTCTTCTAAGAGCTTTCTAGGACTCTTTCTGTCCCAGCATCTAGTCTAGAGGAGTCTAGTCAACAGTCCATTAATTTCATAGCAAAACTGGAAGTCTTAGAGAGAGTACAAGGCTCAGGCTGGAAAAGTCTTACACTTCATGATTTTCCCTGTATACAAAAATCAGAATAGACGGCAGCTAGAGAGGACTGAACACTCACTCTTGGCCAGGTTCTTTACATCCGTCCTCGCGTCCCAACCATGTGAGAGGAATGGGACAAGAGGGATGGCGCCTTTTCGGGTTTGAAGCCCAGAGCCCACGGATTTCCACCTCACCTCGCGGCAGCTCCTGCGCAGTCAGAAAGAACCGGAGTAGGGTTGTGCGGGTTGTTTACCGGGACGTGGAGAGCCGTGAAGGGGTGAAGGTGGGGCACCGCGGAGAGACCCCGGACAGGGCCGAGCTCATTCTAACTGTTTCTTTCGCCTCGCCTGTCCCCTTGAAAGACGGCCCCAGAAAGGGCGTGGAAAGGAACCCGAGTCGTGGGGGCGGAGGGGCACGAGTTAAGCGGTCGGAGGAGGGAGGATGCCAACGGCAGCGGCCAGCTTCCGCTGTACCGGGCTGAAGGCTGAGCCTTAGAGACTTCCCGAGCTGCCCGCTGACGCTGCTCCCCTGGGTCTCCGCGCGGCCCCAGCCCGGAGCCCCCTCTGCGTGCTGCGTACCGCAGGTGAGCCAAGCCCCACACCGCCCAGAGGCATCAGGTGTCGTGGGAAAGGCGCCCGCGGTGCAGGGAGGAACCGCGATGTGGCGAGTCGCCGGTGACATAAAGCGGGAGGGTAGGATCCTCGGACGTTGGCGTCATGGAAGGAACACAGGTGACAGCCGGGTACCAGCTGCAGCGGTTTGCCGCAGCGCCGGCTCGGCCACCACGCCGAGGTCAGTAGGGGCACGCGCGGGAGGACCTGGGGTCCCGCGGGGGCCCTTCGCGTCGGGTCGGCGCGCACCCTCGCCCAGGGTAGCCTGGACTCAAGCTGGGGTGGCTGGGAGGCTCTGCCGAGCGATCCACGCCCGGGCGGCCGCCCATGGGGAAGCACGAGGCGCGGACTCGGAGAGCTGGAAGCCACCTGTGGTCCGGTCTCCTCCTGGGAGGCCTGGATTGGGGTAGCCGTCTGGGTGCGGGCTGGGGACTCCGAGATGGTCTGCAAGTTGCACAGCCAGCCTCTTTCCACTCGGATGTCCCTGTATTAGAAGTGTGGGGAGCGGGTTCCCTGTGCTGGGCGAAAGCAACCTCCAGCCGTGCGGGGGTTGTCGAAGCGGATCAAGGGCGCAGTGGCTGGGACGGAAGGCGCGGCCACGGGAGATCGAGCTCTCGGGAGAGTCGCTGCGGCCTCCAAGCATTCCCCCAATGGAGTACCAGCCTGATAAAGTTAGTGTGAGCACTATTTGAAAAGGGGAGGAAAGGAAAAAAGATGATGGAAAAAAGAAAGAACGGAAAAGAGACCGAAGTTTTGTGTCTGGTGGAGTGAGAACGCGCTTCTGAAGAAATAAGGTTGCGTTACTTTGTCGCCAGCTGTGAGGCTTTACTGTTTACAAATAATCCCTGTTTTTATCTAATTTTCTGCAGCTCAGTCCAATTAAGGCTTTCATCGCCATGAATAAATGTGTGTTAGTCTGTAGAGTCTAAGAGCATGCCTAATATCTCCAATAGCCTCTCTCCTGACCCGCAGCTCCGCCCATCCCTAATTTCTCTTGGCGCTCTGGGGAGGGTGTGAAGGGTTTGTGGCCCGTGCTCCTTCAGCGGCTAGGGGTCTGGACAGATTTCAGTTTTCAAGTGTACCCTCAGAAGGGCTTCTGTGATGAGGTAAAGCTAACGTTTGCAGCAAGTTTCGCGGTCAGTCCTTGTAAATGAAATGTCTTCTCTCCGGGATGATTTGGTGCGAAATGCTGAATAAATTAATTGTGGTTGGCTCGTTTGCTCTTTGTTCCTGTGGGTTACTGTTACATGGCATGTGACTAGTTTGTTTAAAGTTTAATTTCCCCTGTATCAAAGTAGAAAGGACTTTATGTGACCTCGAATCTGTAATTCACCGACATGTTTTATTATTAACAGCTTCATTATTATGCTGGTGTTCACATGTGAGTTTTGATCAATGTAAAATCATCTTTGTTTTAAGGCCCATAGGTAAAGTCTCTTTAAATGCTGGTTAAAAATATCAAACCTTCTCGAAGAAGGAAGTAGCATGTTCTTGAGTGAAAATCCTAAGGTATAAATAACCTTTTTCTCTGCTTTATATCTTTTCCTAAGAGTTTTTGTGCTCATACATTGAAAGGCATTTTAACACACACGAGCCACACTTTAATGAATTCTATCATACTTATTTCATTTAGAAGGTACTGCATATGCTATTGTAAATATGTTTTATGTGTTATCGACTCAGCAATGTTCTTATTAATCTTTTTCTTAATCACGAGTTTAAAAACTTTCCCCTTGGCTAGTTTTCATAGCCAATACCTTTCGTTTGGAAATATTGTATTTGCTAAGAGTGAATGAATCAGAAACAAAAGTGGGATTTTACTTGAAAAGCAGTGTAGTGTCTAAACAGTGACTTGTCAGATATTGTATTAGTATAGTTTGAATCCCTTCTCCTTGATTTCTGAGTACATGTTATTGTAAATCCAGCCTTTTATATGGAAGAGCTCTATTCTCCCTAGTGGTGTGCGATATTTTATTTTGAACAGGTTCCCATAATATCAGTATTAGTCTGAGAGAAAATCTAAGATAAGTCCCAGCTTCTGGAGTGCCTTTGTTGCTCTGGAAAAGCTGACTATGAAGACAATAAAACCAGCCCAATCTTTTTCAAACAGACAAAGGAAATAAAAGGTATGAAGTATTTTGAAAAGTAAAATGTGCTATAGAAATATAAAGTTTTCAATAAAAAGCAACACAAGTGATGTGGCTGATTGGGATTTGGACTTGAACTGAGAAGTAAACAACTAAAGTACAGCTTAGAACATTGGTGCTTACTTGAAACCAAATCTTCTGTCTGGGATTCTTCGACTGTCTGGCAACAGCAAAGAATATAAACTTGTTCCTTTACCTACAGAAAGGAAACAGTTTTGTTTGTTTGTTTGTTTTCCTCTAGAGATGGCAAATCCCGAGGTAGTTATAAGTAGCTGCAGCTTTCACCAAGAGGAAAATGGCTGCACTTTTAACCAGAATACATCTCCCTCGGAGGAGCTTCTATTAGAAGAACAGATGAGGCGAAAACTCAAATTTTTTTTCATGAATCCTTGTGAGAAGTTCTGGGCTCGAGGTAGAAAACCATGGAAACTTGTCATACAAATTCTAAAACTTGCAATGGTGACTATCCAGGTAAGCATCTTAGATCAAGAGTTTGGTGAAAGGCCTCTTTTAATAACAAAGAGGATTGTGGACAGTGATTTTTATACTTTTTAACTTTATCTATAATGGAGAACAATAAAGAACAGAAAATAAGGAAGCATGCAATTTATAACCCTCCTCTCTCCAATATTTGTGAAAGAAGACTGGATTTTTTTTTCTTACTTTTTTCCATCTCATCTTTCATTAAGTTATAATTTTGGTCACATAATCTAATTAGTTTTCAGAAAAAGGAAATTTTAATATTTGGCTTCCACTTGAGAGGTTTAGCTGAAGCTTTCTGAATCAGCCATGGAAACTAGCTGTTGCCCAACCAGAAGATTCTTTCTTTTCCTAGTTTATTTCCTGGGAATTTCTCTCTCTTCCAAAATTTCTAGGGTTTCTATTAAGGCAAGTACCTGGATTCTCACAGCCCTGTGATCATGGGAGTCCTGCAGTGGAAGAATGTAGAGTTAACAAAAAAGGAGCGGCACAGGTAGTGAAATATGCGACTTCATTTTAGGAGATTTTGAATCTCATTTCCTTGGATTTTCTTAACATATTTGGGGGAAATCGTATTTTGTGATTCTTTATGTCTACTAGTGTGATTTACTCTGGTGAAGATCTGTATTTCTATTGGTGAGAGTAATTACCTCTTGTTAAAAACAAAAGGGAAAAATAAAAGCAGATTTTAGTAGGAGAAATGGATGTGAAGCTTTATCTTTATTAGTACTTTCTCTTCTTGGTGAAAAAATGCAGAAGTAAATAAATAATTGGTATTCAAAGAGAAAAAAGTTATTTAAACACTGAAGTCATGAATTTTAATAGGTTATTGAAACAAATGCTTAAGATTGTCAGAAGCTAAGGTGATTTCTATAGTTATATGAAGTTGGTAGACTTCTTGCCTTCGTTTCTGATGCTACTTATTGTGTCAAGGGAAATGAACATTTGAGTGACTACTCGACTCTGTTCCAGGACTTTATTTTATTTAATTCCAACATAATTCCTATTGGGTCAATACGAGCATCCCTTATTTTACAGAGGAGGAAACTGATATTTATAGAGTGTTTTAAAAGCCACATGCTAGTCCGTGGCTGAATCAAGACTTTAGAGGTAGGTGCATTCTCTCTAACATATCACCATGAAAATGGATATCCGATTCTCAATATAATAATATTTGACAAGTTGAAATTGGAATTATTCGCTTCTAGGTAATAATATAGTGTCACAATAGTGAAAAATATGTGTGTTGTTTCTTATAAATAAGGGAGAAAGCCTATACATCAGAAAACATATAAAATATTCATATATATAGAAAACATATATGAATATTTTTTACTTAGAATGATAGGTGCCACTTGAGTGCCATGTTTCAGGCTAAATATTGTATAGACATCATCATGTTCAATTCTGAAAACAAATCAGAGATAATAGTATTCCCGTTTTATAGATGAGAACATTGAGGCTTTGTGAGGTGAAAATAGCTTCTCATAGTCAGAAAACTAGAAGAGTAGAACTTAAATTCAAACTCAGGTTTATTCCCTCTGAGACATATGATCTTAATTACTCCTCAGTCTTTTAGGAAGCTCATCTAACCTGTGTTTCCTAAGGTGGTCAAGAGGAAAATTGGCCAATGGTTTAAAATGTTAACACTGTTAGTAATGAGCACATAAAAAGTGTTTAGGTAAGTTTTTGAAAGGAACTGAGAGTTTCTTAATTGTGATGTTTCCTTAAACTGTATCTGAGCAATCAAGCAAATATTACATCGAGACAACTTTGTAATGGAGCAAATGAAGGTGACTTGGTGACAGGTTCCCTCTTTTCAGGGAAAAGAAGTTAAGTTGGAGGTTTTGTGTCCTCCAAAGATGTATACAATGATAGGCGTCCTATTAAAAGTTTCCTGTTTCCCACTTCCTGGCTCAGTATTTGAATTATAGCAATTCCATCTCAGCCACCTGTACTCCTGCCTGCCTCTATGCCCTTGAGGGCAGGAACTGTTGCCTTCTCATTGTATCCTCAGTACCTAGCTCAAGGCTGGCCTGTGGGAGATACTCAAGTGTTTGAATGAATTGGTAAGAATGTCTGCGAATTCTCTCTCTGGAGGCTTTTTGGTCATCAGCTTCAAACGATGTAAAATCCCTGGAACATCCAACTATCATCTTATTAGAATTTAAATAGGACTTTTAGCTAAAAGAGTCTCTTCAGAAATGGAAGTTGAGTTAGGTGGAAAGTCAAGACATGTGTAGGGTATAGGGCATACATCACAAGAGGAAATGAATGTGATTTGGAAAAATTATTTAACATCTCTGAACC